CTTTATCTTTGCAACCTGATGGTGTAAACCTTTGATATTTCAAACTTAGATTATTTGATTCAACAGAATTCATAGTTTGAAATATCATAGATTTAGGTTGCAAAGATAGCAAAGGCTCAAATTCTTTGATTAAGTTAGCTATATCCTGTAGTGAGAAAGCTGTCGATATATTTTATTGATTTGGTTTACTAGACTTGACTAGATCACGTAAAACTAACAAGAAATACTTTTAGTCCTATTTTAATCTGTAAAAAGTGTTTAAAATAAATATAAGCCAAACAAAAAGTAGAAATAGAAAATACGAATATCTACATAAAATGTGTAAAATGGGTTCTAAAGTTAGTACTCGTTGTTCTTTTAACCAAGACCTCCAGTTTACCGTGAGACAAGACTATAGACTATCAGTTATCAACATTAGACAGCCTTAGGGTCAACCCCCAGGGGAAATAGGTGCGTCCTACCGTGAAACAGATAAAATGTGTAAGAATTAGAAACAGAGGAAGGACTGGGGGGGGGGGGGGGGCTTGACAATAAAGCTTTAACCACTTTTCCAAAACAGAGTTTAATTTTAACACCAAGGTTAATATAGAGCTTTAAAAGGTAAAGGCAGTTCTTTTTTATATCCTCACTCAAGAAAAAAATATTAATATAAATATTTATAACAATAAAAACAATGCAAGCTGATAAAATATGATATAATAAGATGAATTTAAATTTGATTTTCAATGCATTTTCTTCTGACTGTAGTTGATACTAAAAAATTGCGGAAAATCAAAAAGGATGAGACTGTAAAGACCAAAAAAACACTCTTACAAAGTAATTGAGTCTTTCTAATTCCTTTATATTTGCAACCCAATGTCTTCGATCTGAGATATTTCAAATTATCTAAGTTTGAAATATCAAAGGTTTTCACCATCAGATTGCGAAGATATTGGGATTAGAAAATTTTAAAGTTTCAATTCAAAAGTTTTTTTTATAAATATCTTAACATAACTATGATGGATTTTAGGATACTAATTTAAATTCAAGTCATGAAATTTGAAATTAAGTTAGATTCAATGTTTACAGTTTAGAATTAAAGAATAATAAGGTTAGAAGTGAAGAGGTATAGAGAATATAGTTAGTGAAAGAAAGATTGTAATCAAAGAAATATAAATCAACATTAGATTTTAAAAAATGCATTTAGAGTTTTAGATCAAAATTCGGGGATACCGTATACAATTAATAAATTAGGTGCACCGACATATTCCGTATAAACGCATTTTAACATTAGAACTTTATCATATTAAAGTTACTACTATTGTACATTCTTAAAATGTGTTCCGCTACAAAATCAAAATGGCTTTTTTATCTCTCAGACTGCACTAATGAACATGAATTTTAACATTAGAACTTTATCATATTAAAGTTACTACTATTGTACTAAAATGTGTTCCGCTACGAAAATAAAATGGCTTTTTTATCTCTCAGACTGCACTACTGAACATGAATTTTAACATTAGAACTTTATCATATTAAAGTTACTACTATAGTACATTCTTAAAATGTGTTCCGCTACAAAATCAAAATGGCTCTTTTATCTCTCACACTGCACTACTGAACATGAACTTCATCATATTAAAGTTACTACTATAGTACATTCTTAAAATGTGTTCCGCTACAAAATAAAATGGCTCTTTTATCTCTCACACTGCACTACTGAACATGAATTTTAACATTAGAACTTTATCATATTAAAGTTACTACTATTGTACATTCTTAAAATGTGTTCCGCTACGAAATCAAAATGGCTCTTTTATCTCTCAGACTGCACTACTGAACATGAATTTTAACATTAGAACTTCATCATATTAAAGTTACTACTATAGTACATTCTTAAAATGTGTTCCGCTACAAAATCAAAATGGCTCTTTTATCTCTCACACTGCACTAATGAACATGAATTTTAAAAATCATATTTGAGATTATATTGTAAATACATGTAACATTTACGTAAATCAGAATTTTTTCTAAATACAAAGAAAAAATTTAATAAACAAATCATATTTCATATTTTTATTCAACTACAAAGCACGAGATAATACAAATAAAAAAATCACAATTTACTATGCAGTTTGGACCCGCCTAACCAGAGTAGGTTGTTTTAATTGGTTGGCCCACTATAAACGAATGAGAATTGCAGATAAAAACTATGTACATTGTACATTNTGTAGTTTGGACCCGCCTAACCAGAGTAGGTTGTTTTAATTAGTTGGCCCACTATAAACGAATGAGAATTGCAGATAAAAACAATATACATTGTACATTTAAATATTTAAATCTCAAAAAATAAATTAGTTCATACTAAAAATACCCTACCATACAAAAACGCAACCCTATAGAAACGATACCATTAAAAAACGTTACATGATAAAAACGCTACCATGGCCTTATTCATTACATAATATTCTCTGTTATCTGTTTTTGCCTACAGTTTTTATACTAACGATTGAAATATTTCACAAGTGTATTTATTCGATCAAAAATTCATAAAATCGAGTGAAATAAAATCACATGTGTATATACAAACATTACATAGTTTAGTTTTTAGTCTTGACCGGGAACTTTTCCAATGTGTTCAGTCTCCTAGTAAGAAAGTCTAAATTGGAAACAACATTTGAAAAAATAAATGTAAAAGTAAAAAAAATTCGTTCATTTTTATTTCCTTACGTTGATTCATTAATGTTCTTAAAATTTTAAACAAAAATGATTTATTGTTAATATGATGATATTTTACATACAATCATTAATGCCTAAACTTTAATTACGAAAACTATAAATTTTTTCGTATATTAAAGATTTGAATTCGAAAGTTCTCGTGGGAAACTAAAACAGGAAGTTGAAGATGGTCCGGAAGGTAGAGCTCATATAGGTGTGGACAGGTAGACGGATAAATAGATAGATAGAGAGATAGATAAACAGATAGATAGAGGACCAGATGCATAGCATAGATTACTATAGACAGGAAGTTAATTGTATCAATTAGGCTTCATAACAGAGACACGAACAGGCAAAGTAGGCAGAGCAGGCAGAGCAGGCAGAGCAGGCAGAGCAGGCAGAGCAGGCAGAGCAGGCAGAGCAGGCAGAGCAGGCAGAGCAGGCAGAGCAAGCAGAGCAGGCAGAGCAGGCAGAGCAGGCAGAGCAGGCAGAGCAGGCAGGAATCAGGATCCAAGATTGATAAACCTTTTTGCGCTAGGTCCCAAACTCGAGGGTAGGAGAGCGACCTGAAATATTCTTTCAGTGTTGACTACTTTAGGTTAAAAATATTTTGGTAATTTTATGCCGGCCATGAAACAAATAAAAGTATAAGTCTTGGAGCATTTAAGTGCTGGTTCGAACGATATTTGGAAGAAGTTTTAAAACGGTAACCTTAACATAATTGACTGTCTAAGGATGACACATTTTTATAATATAATTGATAATTTTGCATGGAGGCTGTTTTATATTTAAAAAAATATTTTTTTCAAATAAAATAAAAAGTTACGATTTTCGATAAATATGTACATTTAGTATGCAATCTTGAAACTGTACACTCTTGTACAGAGCGTCCCATACCATACTAGATTATCTCGAAAAATGTAGCATTTCTGCTAAAAATTTGTTCGCCATATTAAATTTTTCAAAATAATCCATTCTTCTTAAATTTTCTAATTAAATCGTAATTTAAACCCGTTGACGCGGTCTAATTTGATGTGGGACACCTTGTACATACCAGTTTGAAATCTGCGATTGAAAACGATAAATATGTAAAGCTTCATGCATTCGCAGTTGAAAAAATTAGGCCGAATTTGTTAAAAATAAGCCATGATTGGTATTAAAAGAATCGCCTTAAACCGAACGGATTCCAAGTTCCAAATTTGACGAGGCTAATTTCGTTCATGTTTCAATTTATAAATTTCTAGCCCGGCGTTACCCGTGGAATTAATAAGATCTTCAAATTTTGAAGAAAAAAATTGAGGGAACCACACTGGGTTATCTGCAATGAGTTCCCTCCAAAAAATTCAGCTAGCTAATTTGGTCCATCCGTTTTACCAGCTATAGCAAGAATATATATGTATGAGCGAAGAGAAAACCAAAATAGTCGAAATCTGAACAAAATAATTCATATCTCCGGTAATATTGAAAGCACAAAAAAGGCAGACCACATTTAGTAAATCCCAAGACCAGGGATTATTTTGTAATTATTAGATTACAATTTTACTTCTAAGATTATTTAAAAGATTAAAGACGTCATTAAAGTCATGTTTCGTGGAACACCCTGTATTTTAATTGGATTAATTTCTAAAAATAATTGCTTACTTTAAGGTAAAATAACATTTCCCTTCTTCTCTTCAGTTACAAAATGAATAAAAAAGAATTTTGATTTAAAAACTTAATTAAAGATAAAATTAAAAGTTTCTTATCAGAACATTGTCAATGCTCTAATCTCAGTTGTAAGGTATCTCTAGGCTTCAGACTATGCCTGAATATAAATATATATATATACATATATAGTGATGGGGGAACTCTGTATAGAATGACAAAAATGTTCATAGCAATTATGAATTGAGTGGGTTAACTTTTAAGGAGAAGTTTATAGACAAAGCAAAGCTAGTTTATTAATAAAATCATACAGAAAAAAAATATCTGTTAATTGCCCAATTCACAACAGAATATTCTCAACACCATGCCAAGTAAAAAGATCGATGATTTTTAGGCATATTAGTACACTAAATACATTATACAAAGTACGTAACATAATAGTACATAATTTTATACAAAATACATAACATATGAGTACACTACATTAAACAAAATACACACTAGCAACTATATTATACAAAATACACATTTTCACACTATATTATACAAAATACGTATTTGCACACTATATTATACAAAATACATATTTGCACACTATATTTTACAAAATACATATTAGCACACGCTGCTATAAATAATATACATACTTTTTACAATTTTACCAGAAAGAAAGTAAATTAGAAAGAAAGTGAATTATGCCAAATCCTGTGGTCCAAAGATCTCCAGGTAAAACAGTAATTCAGATTTCTGACTGGATAGTGAAGGTGAGAGAGGGGATGTTATGCAAATATATATTTCTGAATGGATAGGGAGGAGAGAGAGGGGTTGTTATGCAAATATATATTTCTGACTGGAAAGTGGAGGTGAGAGAGGGGATGTTATGCAAATATATATTTCTGACTGGATAGTGGAGGACAGAGAGGGGATGTTATGCAAATATATATTTCTGACTGGAAAGGGAGGAGAGAGAGGGGATGTTATGCAAATATATATTTCTGACTGGATAGTGGAGGTGAGATCGAGAGGGGATGTTATGCAAATATATATTTCTGATGGATAGGGAGGAGAGAGAGGGGTTGTTATGCAAATATATATTTCTGACTGGAAAGTGGAGGTGAGAGAGGGGATGTTATGCAAATATACATTTCTGACTGGATAGTGGAGGAGAGAGAGGGGATGTTATGCAAATATTTATTTCTGACTGGATAGTGGAGGTGAGAGAGGGGATGTTATGCAAATATATATTTCTGACTGGATTGTGGAGGTGAGAGAGGGAATGTTATGCAAATATATATTTCTGACTGGATAGTGAAGGTGAGAGAGGGGATGTTATGCAAATATATATTTCTGACTGAATAGTGGAGTTGTAAGAGGGGATGTTAAAAAAATATATATTTTTGACTAGATAGTGGAGGTGAGAGAGGGGATGTTATGCAAATATATATTTCTGACTGGATGTGGAAGTGAGAGAGGGGATGTTATAAAAATATATATTTCTGACTGGATAGTGGAGTTGAGAGAGGGGATGTTATGCAAATATATATTTCTGACGTGATAGTGGAGGTAAGAGAGGGGATGTTATGCAAATATATATTTCTGACTGGATAGTGAAGGTGAGAGAGAGGATGTTATGCAAATATATATTTCTGACTGGATAGTCGATGTGAGAGAGGGGATGTTATGCAAATATATATTTGTGACTGAATAGTGGAGTTGTAAGAGGGGATTTTATAAAAATATATATTTCTGACTGGATAGTGGAGTTGAGAGAGGGGATGTTATGCAAATATATATTTCTGACTGGATAGTGGAGGTGAGAGAGGGGCTGTTATGCAAATATAATTTCTGACTGAATGGTGAAGTTGTAAGAGGGGATTTTATAAAAATATATATTTCTGACTGGATAGTGGATCTGAGAGAGGGGATGTTATGCAAATATATATTTCTGACTGGATAGTGAAGGTGAGAGAGAGGATGTTATGCAAATATATATTTCTGACTGGATAGTGGAGATGAGAGAGGGGATGTTATGCAAATATATATTTTTTCTGACTGGATAGTGGAAGTAAGAGAGGGGATGTTATGAAAATATATATTTAATGAAACGCACTCAATATCTATTTATGTTATTGTAATGGGTATTAATCAGTGCGAAAAGTTATTTTATAGTTTTATTTGAGATCAAAATAAGAGTATTTTGACACCGAACATACTGAATTAATTTTAAAAAATTCAGTATTTGATAGCATCAAGGATATCAGTTGTAAGCCTGTAAGGTTTATTAAACATGAACTCCGAAATTTTATATAGTGCATCTCTGAATCAATCATTAATCTCTTATACAGTCCTACGGATTAATTTAATTCCTCTTCTATTCCTCTGCTTATACTAGGGTATAACTTAATTGATGATAATAATGATAGGGGGGGAGGGGGATTGTCCTTTTAGGAAAATGGACCTCATTTAAAGAATAGCTTGAGCAACTTCACATTAACATTGAAAATATTTTTATCTTTTTAATTAAGGTCAAAGTACAGCTGAATCTAGGTGGGGATAATTATCAAAAGTTTTAGTGGGGGCGAAAATGTAAATACCCCAAAAAGTCTATTTTATTAATGCCCCTGAATTCAACCCTAAACATTAAACAGTTGGGAATCTTATCAATAATGATTTTTTGTTTGTTTAAGATGGTTGGATTGCTCCTGTATGGAAAGCTGTTTGGTATTTACTAACTTCTATACCAATAGGAATATATTTTTTAGTTTTCAGTATGTCAATAAAAATATCATTAATTAAAACGTAAGCACATGTTTTCTCTGACGGATGATTGAAATGGAAACCAGCAAATCTAATAACTGTAGCGATTATCAGAAAAAGATGGAATACAAGGTCGACATTATGAAATACTTAGTATCTATATTTGTATTTGTGCAACATGCATTGTTTACTGTATATTGTGTACTATGCATAGTGTAACATGCATGTTGCGCTGTGTACTATATGCATTGTGTAACATGCATCGTGTAAGATGCATTGTGTAACATATGTTGTGTTACAATGCATTTTGTACTATTCATTGTGTATCATATGGTTGATCAATATTGGAATTAATTTTGGAGGCCTATTCGGTGATTTCTCCGATATTAAATCTTCAGTTTTGAAATTTTTTTTTATTGCAATATTTTTTAAAGTGAGTACTATGCTTTGTGTCCTTTGCATTGTGTACTATTCTTTGTGTAACATGCATTGTGTTCTTTGTAGTATGCATTGTTTACTATGCATTGTGAAGCATGATTTGTGCTCTATGCTCTTAACTTGTTGAGAAACAAAAAAAAGTATACGATCTTCTAGGAGAGGAATACAGGAAAACCTTACAGCTTAGACATGCAATAAATCTCAGTAAGGTATACAGTACACACTGTCAGTAATTCGTCTTCGTGTTCATACAAATCCAATTGGGTAAATAGACTTTATCACATGGATCAAGAGTGCTATATAAGTTCTATACTTATACTTTGTTGTAGCCCTGTGACATGTTGAATTGAAATTTTAAATTTCTTAATTTACCTTTTTTGATAAAGAAGTAGAAGTAATTGGCAAAATTCTCATCAGTTTTTGCTTGAGAGCTTGCAACCTTTGGATGACAGTTTTAAAATATTAACAATACAAATTATAATTTTTGTATTTCTATCAAGTTATCTACGGTGATATCTTCTTTAATAAAAAACATCCAGATCAGAATTATCTATTAACTCTCCATAGATACAATAATTACGTTTTTTTAGGGTTTAACATTTCCGGTGATGTTTCTTTTAATACTTTGGTATAATAGACTTACAACAGTAACTGCAGCTTATGCTGCTATTCATGGGAGCTATGGGTGAGCTTTTTCAGCAAATAATTAATATCTATATAATATATATATATATATATATCTAAGTTGTAATATCTGTTTGTTTGTCCGATCATAACTCAGGAATCCATGGACCGATTTGCTTCAGGTTTTGATAGGGAAAATAGGGAACATTCCAAAAATGTTCTTGACTCGGTTTTGAGATTCTAAGTTGAGTGGGTCGTCTGTTATAGGGGAAAATAGCTAAAATCGTAATTTACGACCAAGGGAGGGTAAACGGCGGGAGTAACTATGAGAACCCTGGGCAACGCTGGTTTCCTGGGCTAGTATATAATGAAGTTTTCGCTCATTTATATATTTGTCATAGTTGGTCAAACGGCTTCACTAAATTGGCTGAATCGGATCAATTTTTTTGAGGGAACCCATGGGTACCCTGGGGGTGATATTGCCTAAAATAAATTTGAATTTATTTTAATTTCACTGGAAAATTCTGATAAAATCTTTATTTAAGACCAAGCGCGGTAACGCCGGTCAATTCAGCTAGTTAAATATATAGGCCTATCTTTGAAAGAGGATTAGTTTCATTTAATATCATGTTATGTGTTATAGGGTGCTATGGTTAGTAAAAGAAGAATTATATCGTGATGCAAGCTGGGAGACACCCTGTACTCTAGGATCAGCTGTTACTCTTGTTATTGGAATGTCTATAATGTTCTGGACAAGTCCTTATCTACTAATCACAGGTTAGCAGCAAAAAAATTTAACAAAACTTTAAATAATTTAACAAGAATAAAAAAAATCGAATTAAAAAAAGAATTTTGAACAAAATAATTCTCAAATTGTTTCAGCCTATTTATACCCCCAGAGTACCCCTGAGTTCCCTCAAAAAATATCAGCCAATTTGCTCCAGCAGTATCCCAGTTATCTTTGAAAAATGGACATACTTAATTTCAAGAATATGAAGAAGGAAGGATTTGGTTTTTGACTTAAGAAAGACATAAAGGTTACAAATACAACAAGAAACAAGACTGAATAAATTCTCTAAACTCCACTCTATATATATCTTGTCCTCTGTGGACAACCCTGTATTTTCAGGAGAAGATTTTACATCTAAAATTATTAAAAGCTGTTAAGAACGATTTTTTAATCAGTTTTAAAATTGTTGGTACGAAACTTAATTAAAATATTAGGTTCATTAGAATTTTCACTTTCTTAATTTAACTTCACAAATGTTTTTGGTGATTTTTCAGGTAGTGAAGTTGTATTTTATCAACATATCAGTAACCCTGTATTGATATATATGCTGACTACTGTATATGCTAGTGAAGTTGTATTATATCACCATATCAGTAACCCTGTATTGATATATATGCTGGCTACTGTATATGCTAGTGTGAAGTTGTATTATATCAACATATCAGTAACCCTGTATTGACATATATGCTAACTACTGTATATGCACAAAAGATATATTTACTGCATAATTTAACTGTTCAGGAGGAGAAGGTGTGGAACCTGGACCTATTCAACTCTGTTTTATTCTTACTCTCTTTATATTTGGAAATTGGCTTCATCATTCTTCAGATGTTCAAGTAAATTAATTTTCCAAGAAAAAAAATTAGATTTTTGAAGATAAAAAAGACAATTATTTAGTTTTTTTTAACAAGAAGAAATTTATTCAGTTTTTAAAAGGAGGCACATTTTTATTTTTTTTTTAAACAAGCAACATTTATTTAATTTTGACACTTATTAGTTTTTTTACGGAAGACATGTATTTCGGTTTCTACAATAAAATCTTTATTTAGTTTTCTAACAATAAAATTTATTTAGTTTTTAAGAAGACATTTATTTAGTTTTAACAAAAAAACGTTTAATTCGTTTAATAGCAAGAAAATATTTATTTATATTTTTAACAAGAAAACATTTAAAAAATTCAATTTTCAGAAATATTTTGTTCTTCAAGCCAAGAGAGGACTCATAACTAATGGTTTATTCTCGCGATGCCGAAATCCCAACTATCTTGGAGAAATGATGATTTATGGATCATTTGCAGGTAAAATACTACAAATATATTTCATTAATTGCAGGTAACATACTACATATATATTTTATTAATTGCAGGTAACACACTACACATATATTTCATTAATTGCAGGTAACATACTACACATATATTTCATTAATTGCAGGTAACATACTACACATATATTTTATAAATTTCAGGTAACATACTACACATATATTTCATTAATTGCAGGTAACATACTACACTTATATTTCATTAATTGCAGGTAACATAATACATATATATTTCATTAATTGCAGGTAACAATCTACACATATATTTCATTAATTGCAGGTAACATTATACACATATATTTCATTAATTGCAGGTAACATACTTCACATATATTTCATTAATTACAGGTAACATACTACACATATATTTCATTAATTGCAGGTAACATAATACACATATATTTCATTAATTGCAGGTAACATACTTCACATATATTTCATTAATTACAGGTAACATAATACACATATAACCTTCTTATCATTAACTGCAGGTAACATAATACAAATATAACCTTCTTATCATTAACTGCAGGTATACACTGTACAACGTTGTCATTTTCATAGCTCTTATTTTGAAATTATGGATGAAGGTGAGAAAATGTTTTAAACTAACAAATGTTTTCAAAAAAAATATGTTTCCCCAAACATTCATTTTTCAATTCTTGATTGTAATGATGAATTTGATTGTTATTTCCATTTACCTGGTTTAAAAATAAAAGCGACAATGAATAGGATTTAGTATAAACCATGAGCTGTATTGGGTTCCTTGGATCTATCTCTTCATCATATGGTCTGGTCTATTCTTGCCTAGTTGGTTGGCTAAAGACAAGTAAGCAGTTTGTAATGCTAGTTATTAAAGTTATTAAAGGAACTGTTAGCGTAAATTCAGGTGACCTACCAACTATGGAGTATAGTGTCTTGTTTACAAACCATTATATTTATACTCGTTTTTTAGCCTAAAAAGTGTTTAACTCTGAAACGTAAACCCCATTGTTTTTGTGAGCAGAAATGCCCAAGTAATCTTTAATTACTCCCAATGGATATTTTTAGATTTCTGAAAGCGAAACATGAACATCTTATTAATTCTTAATCAAGCAAAGCTATTAAATGCACCGTTAAGAATTGGAAATACCATTTTATAAATGGAGGGTCACTTGCACTTGCACTTGCACTTGCATTTGCATTTGCACTTGCACTTGCACTTGCACTTGCACTTGCACTTGCACTTGCACTTGCACTTGCACTTGCACTTTACTTACTTTTTTGTCTGCATTGCCTTTTTAGTCAGAAATTTTTCTTCAAGGATCGAAATAGAAAAGCGTAGAAATTACCAGAATACCATTAAAATAAAATAAAATAAAATAAAATGTCTCATCTCATATTAGTTGTGTTGAAAAATATCGGAATTATGATAAAATCTCTGAATTGCCTCTTTGTCACAATGTCACAAGCAGTTAGAGACATTATAACATTTTTATGTTTTTGAGAAAACAAAGTTTAGCAAACATATTTGTATTTGACAAGACTGACATATATGATAATATCATATACACACAATAATATATATTTATTTACATTAGAATTTTCTTATGATAAAAAAATACGGGGCATTGTAGCATTATTATTTTTAGATCAATGTCGAGGTACAAAGAATGGTCTGAGTATACTTCAAGATCAGGACTCATTCTCCCCTGGCCGTTTAGTGTAAAATCCAATGCATAATATTTATTAATATAGTAATATATTTTACTCTATAAGAAAAACTGGTTCTCCTAAAACCTCCCAGTTAGGTATGACACCTAAACCAACACCTTGAGGAACTCCCATTCTGCCATTCTTCATCTCAACACCAGTCATGTGACCAGTACACACTTTGTTGTAACTAAATATAATTAGAAAATTAGATATGATAAATTCGGAAGACGAATAATGTTTTATTTTACTTCTGGAGTTAATTAGTTGTAGTTTGAGTGTTTTAAATATTAGACATTAGATCGCTTGATGACGTAACAATTCTTACATAAATACTTTGAAATATGCAGACCACATTTTAGAATTATCACGACCGAGAGAATATTGTTATTGTTGACGAACGAAATACCCACAAATAATTTTAATGATCTAAGACGACATTCAAGTCGTCTCTCGTCTGTCATATTTCGTGGGACACCCTGTATCTGATAAGTGCATTGATGCTGATAACTTAGCAGCAACAAACTGTCAATTTTAAAATAAATATAAAAACCTGTTGAAATCTGTAGCAGTGAACTGTAGTTTCTTTGGAACACAATGTGCTAAATGCAATATTGCTGCTGTAGTTATATCTCCTCCCCAGGTATCTACAAATACGGTATAGTAGTTTTATCCAAATAGTGTGAATGCTACGTACAATTGTATCTGACGTTATTGGTGACAGTATTGGTTTTGAACTCAAGCAATCAAGATTTAAACTCCATTATCAAAAAAAGCAAGTTTTAGGCGAAAAATACTTTAAAACGGTTCAACCTTTGAATTCATGAAAAAGACACAATTTTGTGAAATCTTCATTAAACCAATTAAACTGTAATTCTTTGTATAAAAAGCTATTTCCTAGACTTACTAATGCGTATTAGAAATGAAGAATGCCATACTTAAAGGGGGTGTTCGGGAAAAATGAAATGAATTTCATATCGATCGTTACTAATTTTACTTCTATCTCCGGCGTCTACAAGGAGAAACTGGTTAAAGACGTCTTATACCCAAGAGCGTAGCATCCACATTTATTATCCTTAAAATACCTCACCAGTCACAACAGAGTAAAGAATATTCAACGTGCAAAGGATTAGTGAACACTTTTATAGTGATTTAGTGCTATTCTTTTTACATCCCCCAAATTTTCAAAAATACAAAGCCATGTGTTTTCCTATAGTGCATGCTGATGCATGATACATTACTTCTAAAGGGTCTGTTGAGCTTTCAACTTTGTAGTTTTACCTTCTACAGTCATAGCTAATCCAAGTTCTGAGCAGAGATCAATTGCTTGTTTTGCTTTGGTAAGACCTCCAAATTTACTAATCTTGATGTTTACAACATCTGCACAACAATCGTTTAACTAAAATTATTTAATCTTTTAGTTTTTTTTCTGTACATATATATATATATTAGGATGACACATACACGAATGGGGTTAAACATTTTTTGGAGGTTTCTATAGCACCGTTAGCACGTGAATTTCCCTGGAAGGAGCTGGTTCATTTGGTGTACCGTCCCGTTTTGCCTGGTATACTCTGTACTGTACAGCTTGCTCTAGCTAGTTAGCTGTCGAACTTAAAGGGAGTGACCGGCAATATATGGGATGTATGGTGGTTTGAACTGAGATTGAAATATTTAGGATGCCTTTAAGGCATATAAAACGTTTTAAAGATCTGTACTCTTGTGAAAATTTTAAGTTGATCAGAGCATTGCCTCTGGAGGAATTCGTTTTCGGTATTTCGGCAAACTCTTGATTTTGGTGAAGGTCAATAACCTCGGATCTCAAGTTTTCTTTGTGATCCAGATAGAGGGCCACAATGAGAGGCTGCATGCAAAATTTTAACCTTTATCTCAATTTTAGAATCCCTATCCTTAATAAGAATAAAAAAATTTCCTGAAACTCCTTTCACCTAAGTTTTTCATCAAGTTAGAGCAAAACATGTTTTTACATTTCCATACTAAGAGAACCTATGCACCTTTTTGATTTTATTTCTTCTTGTGTCACTCTAATATATATATATATATTAGAGTATATATATATACAAATATATATATATACATATATGTATATAGTATTTTCAACTTTTTCAGTTTAAATATACATTTTAGATGTTTAAATATATACATATGTATATATATATATATATATTCATATATATATATATATATTCGACGATTCTGTACTTGAACAAGAACTAATTTAATGGTTATTCACCATAGATTGAGTGGAGTGTTAATATTAATTTTGGAATTTCTTTTTACCATACGCCTTGCAGTTAGTTTTGTATGGTCTAAAACGGACATTTTATAATAAAGCTAATGTAATGCAAATGCACTGTAAAAATAGAGCAAAAAAATTTAATTATCCAAAATTTGAATGACCTGATTCAGAATAGTGTGAATATCATCAATAGATTCGTCCAAAACAAATGGAAGGTTGGTTTTCCGTCGCACTGTCAAACATTCCTAAAATATAGGTGTATCACATTTAAAGGGACTGTTCGCGAAAATGTAAATGTTAAATTGAGCATTTTTGGTTCGTTTTTAATTTTTTAGGTAAAAATAACAGCAAACTTTAATAGAATTTAGTTTTGGAATTTTGGAAGTTATATCAACTAAAAAACGATTAAAAAATAACAAAATATCAATAAGATTTGATAGTGTTTAAATTATGCAACTTTGTAGTTTGAGAAGCCAGTGTTAGTCTGATATTATTTGAGAAAATTGAAAAGTATATATTCTACCTGATATGTTTTACAAGGTTGCTCAATATATACATCCACGTCTTTTACTGCAGCAACTACTCGCAGTGCCTTTGTATTGCACAATTATCAAATAATTTTTTCACTTTAAAATTAAGATGTCGGTTAACATGAAACTTAGTCTTTGGCAAATTTAGGAAAGGGGCCGGTTTGCCCGGATACCATTTTCCTTGTGTTGCATTCTTCTTAGAATCGAGATATACAGAGTTACCCACAAAGGATGTTAGTTTAATGACGACCTACAGCTCTTCAAATATAGCAATTTCAGGACGAACTTTGATTTCCGCATTCAGTATAGTCGTTCAATGCTATGAATAAAAGAATTGATGAAAGAAATAAGCTTATAGCTGTAAATAACCAAATATCGAAGGAAAAAGTTTATAGCTGGAAATAACCAAATATCTAAGAAAAAAGTTTATAGCTGTAAATAACCAAATATCTAAGAAAAATGTTCATAGCTGGAAATAACCAAATAAAAAAAGTTTTTAGCTGGAAATAACTAAATATCTAAGGAAAAAGTTTATAGCTAGAAATAACCAAATATCTAAGAAAAAAGTTTATAGCTGGAAATAACTAAATATCTAAGGAAAAAGTTTATAGCTAGAAATAACCAAATATCTAAGAAAAAAAAACGAATAAATTCTGTAAAGTCATCTTTGAAATCTCATATATTAATGGTGCCTGCACTAAATACATTATTATGTTATTACAAATAACATTTTTTAAACAGACAGAAGCTTTCGTATCAACCAACATTAACAAATGATATATATAGTATTTTTACCTCATGTGCAGTCCAACCAGTATTAGCGTCACCAACCAAAACATCCTTTGTATAATATATTTATTTATTGTACAATGTATATGATAATGTATAATTATAATGTATTTGTATATTGTATATTGTATATGTTTATTTATATTGTTCAATGCATATTTATATTGTAGAATGTAAATTATACAATGTATATATATTGTATATTATATTATAAATCTATATATAAATTTGGCTTGTCTGTCTGTTTGTCTGTCTGTTTGTATCCAATAAACGTCAAAACGGCTGAACCTATCAGGCCCAAATTTTTTTTGGGACATCTAGGGACCCCAGGGAAGGTTTATGAATGATTGAAATTTTAAATATTTGTCTCCATCAAAATTCGATCTTCATTAAATTTTTGAAAATTTTGAAAATCCACGAAATTTTTTGTGAAAATCCACGAAATTTTTTGTGAAAATCCGCGAATTATTTTTGTTTTGTTTTACGATGTACACAAAGAAAACATGTTCACAATTAATTTAGAAGATGGGTGCGGAGCTCCCTCAAAGACTAGTATTATAAAAGGCATTGTATATCACTGTACAGTGTAAGTTTCCAGTATATTGAAGCGAATTATTGGATGATTGTAACAATGATGTTTAAACTCTCATTAATCTCTCGTAAAATCGTATTATTACATGGCATTAATTTTACTCCACGCAAATTGTCGTTTTAATCCCAATTTACTTTTTTCTCTTTAATAAAAAAGAAACATATAATGGTTTGTTATCCTACAGTTTACAAAGTTTATACAAGATGTCGTCTTCAACCGAGTTATTGGATTTTTACAAAATACTTCAGCTAGTTATATATGGAATTCTTTTATTTACCTTTGACTCCATTACATTTCTGCAAGTACGTATTCTATCAATATCTTCACTAGGCTCTCCTCCAAGCTTTAGTTGAAACCTTTAATTAAAGCTGAACAATTATGAATCTTAAAGGGAGTTCATTTATTTTGTTAATTTTGGGGTAAACTAAATAGCTTATTAGCTATTGATTAGTATTGGTCTTACTTTTAAAAGACAAATGTGGCCGGCCCATGGATCAACTATAGTTGTTCCATGGGCCGGAGAAAAAGCCGACTTTTCGTTCAGAATTCGAGAGGAAAGGGACGATCCCGCCGTCTGTACACTTTTTGATGTTTTTTGTCTATGTCATTGATTAAAACAAATTTCGAATATAAAATTAAACTGTGGTATGTAATTGTTAATTCATAAATCTCATAATGTTTAGATTTTTTTCACTTTCTATTTCTAAAAGTTGTACTGTTTCTCTGTAAAAAGCTGAATAGAACGCCGCAACGCGGCATGAAAAATAAAAGGTTGCGCGCATACGGATATGGGATTATAAATTATAATTGGGTAGTTAAAAATAAATTGGACAACTGATTTAGGGGTGTCATAATTTGAGGGGGGAGGGGGAACTAGGATTTTCGACCTTTCTGGCAATATCGGCAGATATCGGTTGGAGAACTAACAGAAGCTCTATGGGTGTGTGGAGAGCGGTTCTCCCAACCCGCTCCGAAAGTTAAAAAATAAATTTGTGCTTTCACAATTACCGGCCAGCTATTTAGAATATCGTTCAGATTTTGTTTAATTATAATTAAAACTAAAATTGTTGAAATCTGAAAGAAATTCTTTAAATATCCGGTAATTTTAAAATTAAAAAGAACTTGGGGATCTTGTGTTTATGCTTGGTTGGTTTATAAATGAGTGCCTCAATTCCTGGGAAATTCCGCGGATTTCCCGCAAAATTGTTACTTGCCTCAAATTATATCAAGGATCAAAGACGACCTCAAAACGTCGCCTTGCTGTCATGCTTTGTGTTGAAACTCCTCTACGTGTATAATTATTAATCAATAATTAGATAAGAAAATTATACCTGGTATACCCTTCGTTTTTGTACTTTAGTACTAGATTTGCCATACTCTCAGGGGTTCCTTGACTGATGGCTCTACATAAATATGATTTTTAAATTAAATTACGAGACTTTAATGATGACGTTCTAAAATTAACCTTTTGATTTACAGATCTTAAGGTTACATTTGGTATTTTTCAATAAATGCAGCCTCTTTATGATATATAAGACAATATTAAAAGGAATAAACAAGTTTACAGTTACAAGGGAACAAAAAACATGAGAAAAAATACTTTTGTAGAGTCGTTTCTAAAGTCTCATCTTTTATCAGTTAACTGCACAGTTTTCTGTTGTTGTAAATTTTGATCATAATAAACAGTTTATTATGAATACCGTTTAATGAAAGAGTGTCATTAATGATTCACAAGGCCATGGTTAAACCTGTCCGTGACAAAGGAGAGTACATTCAAGTTATTACCTAGAAAACCGCATCCGGAATTGTTTAAATTTTAAGGTAGACAATAATTAAGTCGTCTCAAAATCATTGCAGTTCACTCCGAACTAGATAGATGTAAAAACCAGTCATAGAACAAGCAATGTGGATCACATTTTAAATGTCGCACTTTGGAAGAAATATTAAAATTATAGCCAATCATGTGGCGGAATTAATAAGAAATATTAAAATTATAGCCAATCATGTGGCGGAATAAACCAGCGGAAAAGTAAAAATTTATTAGAGCCTTCATAATTCCTGATTTTCTTAGTTGGGAGCAACTATTCATTAATTGGCCAAAAAATGAGTGTACTCTTAAATGACAAAGAGTTCTTGTTAAAAATGTGCATTAAAATAACTCTTTTGAGATCTTTATATTTTTTTAATGCGCGTAATATTTTGTCACCTGTACATAATAACTCCAGTTGGATTCATATTTCCTCCGAGTAAAGTATTTACTGGCAAGCTTGTTACCTGAAAATAGACACATAGATACTGCACATTCACTCAAAAACGATAATTTCACAAAGATACAATATCCTAAGGTGTGCCTTCCTAAATGTCCAATAGCCGCTGAGATCGGCCTTTAGAGTTTGGGAAAGTACCCTTCTACATAAATTCACCCCAAGAGATAAGAAAAAAGATTTTAAAGGCAATGCGAACCGAGGTGAATCAACTGAAAATAACATTGTTAAATAGACATTCTAAACAAAGTTTCAAAAACAGACTTGCAGTGAGGTATTGCTACTGAGTAAACAGTTTTTATAAAATATTTGAGGTGTCATTAGCTGTCACCGTGTGTAGAGATTAATAAAAATCTATGAGATTTGATAGATTATTAAAAAAAGAAATATTTCACCTTGCCCAGAATATCCCAACAGGCCATATCTAATCCTGATTTAACGTAAGGATGTCCTTTTAGTTCATAATCCATTTTGAAGTTTAGTAACCTGGCAAAATACACGACTATAGTTAGCAAAGAATCCTATAAACTGTTTTAAAAATCAAAACCAGTTTATGATCTTTATAAATGTGTCCTAAAATTAGTTTAAACCACGGAATACGAATAAAGGGAAATGGCACTGGTCTGGCATGAGAAAGCCTGTCGCACTGCTAACGAGTAGTTTATTGTAAACTTTAATCAAATTATATTCTTTGCAAGCAAATTTGGCTTTATAGTGTTGACTTAAATGTATAAATAGTACATTGCATGTATATTAAACTTATTTTTAAGTAAACAATTAACAATAAACAAATGTACTCTCCTAGACTGTACAAATACCGAGATTCTATATACCTACAGTTCACACCTTCAGTTCGGTATTACTTACACACACATTTTTGGTACAGACACGAATACATGACGTTTCCGCCCCTTGGTTTAAACCCGTATAACTTCAAAGAATCTTAAAAATAGAAAATAGTAAAGTTTTTTCTAAATCCAATATATCTTTGCAATCTCTTACAAAATTAAATATTAAAATAAATCTTGGAAAACAAAAAATAAATGAAAATAACTTTCTTTTCTTAACTTTGTAAGTTGTAACAAGCAACAAACTTAAAAATTTAAAGATTTTGGATTAGAAATTTTCATTTTTGTTTAAAAATGATGCATTTATAGTTCCTTACTGTAAATATTCCTTTGTGGTAGAGAGTTTTTCAACTACTTCTAAAAAAACTTGATGCTTCTCAGAGAAAATATATTTCGATATTTTAAATATCCTTCTCAATAAAGTTCCTTACTTGAGCATTGTCGGATCCATGCCAATTAGTTTAGGTCCCAATTCTCTATAGACATCCAATCATACAAACAGTACATACATACAAAAGTGGTGGACCTGAGCGGGGTCCTTTCTTGGATACAGTCGCGGATCAACACATTATAGATTTATATCATATAAGCCTGATCGTTACATGATGCAAACCGATAAAAGGATTAATCGATATAATGTTTACTCGTACCAGCCCGTCTAGTGTACCCAGTATGTGGTTGACCCAGCCCGTCTAGAGTACCCAGTATTTGGTTGACCCAACCCGTCTAGTGTACCCAGTATGTGGTTGACCCAGCCCGTCTACTATATCCAGTATTTGGTTGACCCAACCCGTCCACTGTACCCAGTATGTGGTTGACCCAGCCGGTCTAGTGTATCCAGTATGTGGTTGACCCAACCCGTCCAGTGTACCCAATATGTGGTTGACCCAGCCCGCATAGTGTACCCAGTATGTGATTGACCCAGCCCGTCTAGTGTACCCAGTATGTGGTTGACCCAACTCGTCTAGTGTACCCAGTATGTGGTTGACCCAACCCGTCTAGTGTACCCAGTATGTGGTTGACCCAATCCGTCTAGTGTACCCAGTATGTGGTTGACCCAGCCCGTCTAGTGTACCCAGTATGTGGTTGACCCAGCCTGTCTAGTGTACCCATTTGTGGTTGATCCAACCCGTCTAGTGTACCCAGTATGTGGTTAACCCATCCCGTCTAGTGTACCCAGTATGTGGTTGACCCAGCCTGTCTAGTGTACCCAGTATGTGGTTGACACAGCCCGTCTAGTGTACCCAGTATGTGATTGACCCAACCCGTCTAGTGTACCCAGTCTGTGGCTGGCCCAGCGCGTTTTATGCAACAAATTATAGCGGGCTGAACCTATGTGATAATTCATACCTGTGCTACAGAACTCTTAGTTTGAATAGGTGAATTGGAGAATGAATGGAAGGATGAATGACAGGATGGGATGGGTGGATGAGTGAAGGAATGAATGTATGATTTTTCCTGATCCCAGCTCTAACTCCTGCAGCATAAGATGGTAGATAGTTGGGTCCCAGGGGAACCACCTCACCAAACCTAGAATTGATTGTTTCTAAAAAAAAATTAAGGGCGTTTTGCAACCTCTATTGAATTCTCAAATCATGTTAGAATCTTCTCTTTGTGTATCACAGAAATCAACATTCCAAAATGTTGCTAATTTTCTTGTTTAATTTTGTAAAGAATATATTTCTTTTAACCAAAAAAAGGACTCCTGCGTTTGTCTGTTAGTAATATCTTTTACATTTTTTTCAACTGTAAGCGTCTTCTTTTCTTACAGAAAAACAAGAAAATATATGGGTTATTTACCCCACTACGCCTGAGTCTGTGAAAACAGCGATAACAGTGCTGTCATAAACACTGACAGATTTACCATCAGCCCAGCAGTAATCACCATCAACCTAGGTATAGAAACTTGAACATTACTTTATACTGCAAATAAACCTAATGAATGCCGAATGCGATATGTCTGGTACGACTTTGTGACCCCGTAGCTCCAACAGTTTATGACATTTTTATTCTTTTTTATTTTATTGCGAATTGTTAGTTAATGTTCTTTTTTGTCTGAGAATTAAAAACCTGTGATCTTATTTTTGTACAACCAGTATGTAGTAAATGCCTTACTCCATAACAGTTTCTCGAACCGTATCTATCCAGGTACAACTCAGATTCTTTTGACTATCAATGTCGACACACGGCTGCAATCCTGTGAACTATCAGCGCAAGTACTACTGAGCGCGATCTTATATATAACGCAGTTAAGCAATCACAATATGGGTATGACGGAGTTATATATATCTACGTACATTGAATTGGTTAATCGCATGATTTACATATTTACTATTGAGCACATTTTACCTATGGACAATATACACCGTAATTTACATGAGCCTCTATATTTGCTACAAGTATACAACTTGCGGATTTGTACAGAAAGACGCACAAGAATACAAAACTTCTTTGGACGCTGTTCTCTTTTTTTTAAGACAATTACATTATCAAGATGTCAGAGAACTAAAGTTCAGTCTAGTAAATATAAGCTTAAACTACATCATATATTGCACAATTTGCACATTTTTTGTATTCAAATATAAATTACATCTATGACATAATCTTAGATTTTAAAACTATTCTGTGCAGTTCTTAATTATCATTGGTCATCTGAAGAATAATAACTATTTATAACAGTGTTATTTTGGTTCGCAATGCTATAAAGTTTTTGGACATAAACTTTTCCTTTCTCGAGAACCTTTTATACATATAGAGAAAATTGATTAGTGTTATAGGCATTTTTATAAAACGTTTGTGTACTTGTCTTATTTCAATGGTCATTTCTAGATCAAACAAGCTTTGAAACAAAGCAGAAGTCAAAATATAAAGTTTATTTCAATTTTATTTTCATTTCAATTGAAAAAAATATTTTGGAAATATCCTTTTTTTGGAGAATATCCGGGAACCAATCAAAATCTTATAGCACACGTGCTATAATGTACATACACCCCATTTAACTTTATAGCACGATGATTACTTTATAGCACGTTCATTATGAAATTCACGATGAATTGAAGAAGAATGATAAAGTATACAATAATTTCATAAAGATAGTTTTGCTATCCAATCAATGATACAACAATTATTTGAAGAGAAGCTGTATATTATTATGCAAAAAAATCATAGCATCTATCCCCATCCTATCCCTTCCAAAATGATTATCAAAAGTATATGTAAAACAAAACACTTTATTTATATGTAACCATTGATAGATATCAAAATATAATTTTTCTTATTTATTTTGCTTAAATTTCCAAGTTTTTTTATTTCTGAAAACCTTTCAAGTTAATAACTTTTGTTCACAATAACTTGTAAGAGTTCAGAGTGGCTTTATCAACCCCACACATTATCGACTTAGTTAGATTTAAGGGTTCGAGCGTACATATTTTAGTCGCTTTAGGTTTAAACTATTTCAGGGGATATTAGTTCCAAAACTAACACTTGCCCCGTGTGTTGGAAATGGGCCAAGTATTTGTTTTGGAACTAATGTCCCCTGTATTTTGTAAACACATACTCCCTCTTATATCTCTGAAATTAAATTTTATTACTTTAAAAAACGAATAGAAAAAATAATCCTACAGGGTTACCCACAAATTATAAGACTGTACGGAATTTATACATGTCTATCATTTAAAAACGGCAAAATTCAACCTTTAGATCGTCCGATTCAATGAGAATTTTAGGTCATCATTAAAGGCTCATCTTTTGTGGGTAACCCTGTATAGGTTACCAAGGGAAGGTTTGCTTGGTACACAGATATTTTTACAATCTTCATTTTTTCTGAAAATTTAAAACCATATTATTGAAAGCATTAAAAAACATTTAGAAAAAACTTCACTTGAAACTTCAAAGAAAGCGTTACAAGCGTCTTATTCACTCTTACAGTGTGGAAATTATAGTTCTTGATTATTAACATAAACTTTAACACACATATCTATTATTAAACAGGATAAACCTGTTATTTTTCTCTATAAGATCAGTGTATACATCTTGAAATACAGGATGTAAAGATAAAAGATTGTATAAATTGTAAGTCTCCGAATTTTATTAAGACATCTTTTTCAAAAATAAGTTGTCATCAGTGTTCGAAAAATCAATTTACCGGCTTCACACTTTGCTTGTATCTTCAGAATAATAAAGCTGTGGGTCTCCGATTAAAAACTTTGGGTCTCTAATGAAAAGCTTGGGGTCTCCAACCATACGCGTTTTGTTTTATAAATAAACAATCTTTAAAATTATGGAATTTTGTTTAATGTTTTTTATTCAAAACGTATATGCCGGCAAAAAGTATAATAGAAAAAAGGCTAAAAATTATGTTTAATAGGTCAAATTGTGATCGAAAGTCACAGCTTTTTGGAACTGTTAAATCCACGTGGGCTCTCCGACGCAAAAGGGTTCTCTTAAAGTAACTNTCTTGGGTCTGTTGACACTGCACAGTTACTGTGTCTCATGTTCATTTAACTATTTAAAGGTATATCTTGGGTCTGTTGACACTGCACAGTTACTGTGTCTCATGTTCATTTAACTATTTAAAGTTATATCTTGGGTCTGTTGACACTGCACAGTTACTGTGTCTCATGTTCATTTAACTATTTAAAGTTATATCTTGGGTCTGTTGACACTGCACAGTTACTGTGTCTCATGTTCATTTAACTATTTAAAGGTATATCTTGGGTCTGTTGACACTGCACAGTTACTGTGTCTCATGTTCATTTAACTATTTAAAGTTATATCTTGGGTCTGAAAGTCAGCTTCCTATTCCAGAGTTTTCTGGTTCTCACTGTAAATAAATAAAAAGAGAAAACAGAAAATAACGCAACCTCTCTAATCTCTTTATCCTCTTTAATTTAAACCTGAACAGAGCTCTGCAACAAGAAGATGTATAAAACCAATATTGGATATCGGAACCAACACACACATCCCCCCCCCCTCCCATTCTGACCGATTTCCTCCAATTTCCCCCCTTAACCACCACCCCATCCCATCACCACCCTGTATGTAACTACCAGTATTGATAACCTATATATATGCAGAGCTTTGCACAATCAAAGAGCTCAATCTTATTTATTCTTCCCCAAAGATCCCCCTGGGTAGAAATCAAATTCCCCAAAAGATTTCCTACCCCTGAATCACCCTCCACCCCCTCCCCCTCCCCCACCCAATATTTAGTACAGTTAAGATTAAATATTGATTTCTTTATGAATATATTTTTGTTTTAACTTTGTGGTCGTTCAAATAATGTTTAAGAAAAAAACGACACTGGAATATATGGCTTGTAGTGTAGGGTTATCAACAACGAGACTTTGAATAAAATATACATATAAATATATATGTATATCTATTGGCTATGGTAGGCTTCAAGGGCGCTTTGCATCCCCCTAGCGGCCATATTTTCTTCGTAAAATAAAAACCTAAATAAATCGCAGATTTGATCCTGATATATATCAGTGAAATATTTTCTTCCTGTTTCAGATTTATCCTAATCTTATTCCTTCGGAAATTTATTCTTGATTTCCAATCTTCTTTTTTGGCAATTCTGTTCCAGCAAATCAGAGAACTTAGATTGGCTCGTCCATGATAGATAGATTAGATTTTTTCAGTTTAAATATACATTTTAGGTGTTTAAATATATATTTTCCATCTTTTAAATATATATATATATATATATATATTAGGCTATTACAGCGCTTCGCGCCCATCTTCCATTTTCATTGTGCACATATTCTTCTTGTGTACATAGCAAATAAAACAAAAACAAACTAAATTTTTGGTGGATTTTCAAAATTTTCAAAAATAGATTCTTGATGGGGGCAAATTTTTGAAAATTCGATAATCCATAAACCTTCCCTGGGGTCACGCGAGGTCCCTCAAAAAATTTGGGCCCGTTCAGTTCAGCCGTTTTGACGTTTATTGGATACAAACGGACAGACAGACAGACATTCAAAGTATATATATATAAAGAATTGTAATTAATCTGCACAAAATAGGAAAAAACTTTAAATATCTAAACATATCATGTCATGTTTGTGCCTAGTGTAATTAAAAGAATTCCAGGTCGTCCAAAAAGCCCAATCCTTGTGATTAACATGAAACAATGAAAATTTTCGTATTTTCAAGAAACAACAAAATTACTCATCAATACACCCTTATGATAAGTAAGACTAAATATGAATAAAATATAATATCAGAATTTCGAGTTTTCTTCAGATAAACCAAGGTTTTAATGCAAGGAAAATTATTTCAGAGGTGTACGCATCTTTTCTACTGCAGTGTACTGTCTCTGGGCGGTAATGTAAACACAAGACGGATGTCGAAGCCTGACAAGGGAGCCATCTTTCATATAAATAATCAATGAAATATTCTGGTCATATGAAACTATTATGTGAATTATCAAAATTATCAAAATGTAATGCTTTTAACCTCCTCGGATATTGAACGAACACTGATTATCTATTCTTGTTTACAAATTCCGCCCAGAGAGAACTGGTTCCAATATGTACGCAGAGTATACGCAACTGCAATTAACTTTCTTTGCATTACATTCTTGAGATAAACATTGTATCTAACTGTATACTTGTCTATACTTTAGAGTTCTATGTTTTCTAAACACTTGTAAGAAAACATTTTCTCTAAATTTCTTTAAACTTTAGAATTTCCCTTTCTTAGGATATGGAGGCAAGGGAGAAGGGGAGAAGGGGAGAAGAGGGGGGGGCTAGTAATAAGAGGGAAGGTAGGGAAGGGGATATTTCAATCTTTTTCTCATTCATCTTCCTACTCTACACCTTTAAGATAAGGGGGGGGGGGGGAGGGAAGAAATAAGACCTAGAATATGTTATATGAAGAAGAATGGAACTATAGTCAGGAACAAATTATCATATTAAAATGTTGAACTTTCTTCCACAGCGAATCTCTCGCGTTAGATTTTATTTTCGAGAATGTTGTAAAGTAAACTCTCAATAAGAGAAAAACTACATTTTGTCCTAGAATATGCATATTTACTTAACAGTAGACTGAGAGAATTCTTTATGTAAGAATTTTCCTATATCTATAAACTATTATGTACCAGGCTTTAAGGGTGCTTCGCGCCCCCTTTTCTGTAAAAAAATTTAGGTTTGAACTCCAGAAACCTTCCCAGGGTCAAGTGAGTTACCTCAAAAATGATCGGTTCAGCCGTTTATACATCTATTGGATACAAAAAAAGCAAAAGCAAGCAAAATATATATCACTGGGCCTTCAGGGCGCTGCATCTTCAATTTTAACTTTTAACTGTGGCCCTATCTGTTAGCATTTTCTCTTTGTACAGTATTAAACAAAGTTCGTGGATTTAATAATATTTCTCACCCATTTTCAAACTTTAAAAAGTATAAATTTTTGGACACAATTTTTTGTAATTTAGAGCATCCATAAACATTCCCTGGGGTCATGTGAGTTTCCACACACAATTTGGGCCCGATTCGTTCAGCCGTTTTGACGTTTATTGGATACGAGCACCCTTACACCCTAGTCAAGTGAATATAGAGATGAAGCTGCTTTGACATTACTAAGTATACGTATACAGTATGTCAGAGTGTAAACCTTTGATTTTCAAGCTTTGATTACTTGATCCAACATTATTCATAGTTTGAAATATCTAAGGTCTTCGAACTAGTGTTGCAAAGATAAATCAGAGCAAAGATTCAATTCCTTAACTCCAGACAGCTTGATAAAGAACGATGCACATCACTCTCTACGCTTGTGTTTGACATGCATACACCTTTACATGCATATTCTATAGTCTTTGATAATAGATAAATAGTTAGAAAGATAGACAGATTCAATGTTTCACCATGTGCCGGTTGAAAATGATTGATAGTATAAAATGAAAAAATGTATTTTGCAAACTTTGAAATTTTAAATTTCTATCAAAATTATTCTAAAGTTTTGAATAAAATTTCTAGACCGTCAGATGCTCATAATATGATACTTGGATTAGCATAGACAGAGCAAAGAGAATTGAGTCTTTGCCACAAACTCAGATTTGTAATCTTTACAACCCAATGTCGTAGATCTTTCATATTTCAAACTATGAATTCTGCTTGAGCAAATAATCCGAGATTTAAATAGGGGTTAAAAAATTTAGTTTGTGGCGAGGACTCGATTCGTTTTATAAAGTGAAGTTTCTTGCTTTAAACCATAATCTTCATCCATCTTCTTTAAACCATAATCTTCATCCATCTTCTTTAAACCATAATCTTCATCCATCTTCTTTAAACCATAATCTTCATCCATCTTCTTTTCTCTGTTTTGTTCCAGTTTCCCTTTAGAAAATTATCAGAGCATAAGTCTAAGAAATACATTGTTGTAATTTCTTGCTATACAGTTAGTTTCTTACTCATAATATCATTTTTATTGTAATTTAAAATAAGTCAGAGTTCTATAGATTTAAATGATTTTTCCCTTTTCATTTTTAATTCCCTTATTTCGAAATATTTTAGAATAGATTATATTTCCCGGATATCTCTTCAGTGTTTCATTGTTTGGAATTTTTAAAATAGGTATGATATATGTTATCATTAATATATATATTTATACTTTTTAAACAAACACTTTAAGGACGGGATTTGCCAAGCCAACATTGGCCGTCTTTAATGGCAAACCTGGATGCTATTGTATGACATAATCTTAAATTATACAATTGGAGGTGTTTCGTCCAAAAGGTGGGGGGGGGGGGGGAATTATTCTATTCCGGGTCCCTTCATTTAAAGAAATGAAAGCGTACTTTTAAGTTACTCTCCTC